TAAAGGAGACCGAATGTCATCTATCAATCACCTACAAACGATTCTGCATCACTTAGTCGGCAATTCAACATTCTATCGGCAAAATTAAAAAAACAGGGGGCTAACTTCCGTAGAAATATTGAACTTTTTTATTTTTCTTATTGTAGAAATAGGAAGATCTATCAAACGTTAATTTTTATCTATCATAGACCTACAAACGACCTACTAACGTTTGCGATATTCTATATAATATTTTTTTATTAAACAGTAGATAACTTCCGGAGCTCCAACGATGGCAATAAAAACAATGGCTTAAACACGGCTGCTGTGGAGAGTCAAAGTAAAACAAAGAGAGGCAGAGAGTTCTCGCTTGCCCACTTGAGCGCCAGCGACTGCATGTAGTATGTAGCCGAGCACGACAACGGATCGACATTTACAAATTGCCAACACATTGACTACGCTCAGGTCGATCATAAAGCGAACAAAGCAGCGAACGTAGGAAGAGGCGAAGCTGGGCTGGAGGGAGGAGCAAGCAGCTGGTAGTAGCGATTTAGTGTTGTGTTGACAACATTTAACGTTAGCACTGTTGACGCATTTTATGGGCATTATCGCTGCTGTTGCTGCTCCTTTTATTGTTTTACTTTTTCTTGTGGTCGTTGATTTTTCTTTTGAACCGCAGTCATGATCGTGGCAGCGGCGCTTGGTAATCGTCAACAAGTGACAAGAGCAAGTGTGCTGAGAGGTTTTGTTAAGTTTTAAACGCGTTCAAGTGTTCATTGGTTGCACGGGGCCGATACAATTTTTCGGAGTTTTTATGAAGTGATGTTAGACTTCGGTTAACGGCAATGCAACATAACGTACTTTGACGTGCAGCGTGACAGTTTGACGCGATTGAAAACGTGCGCATACAAGTGATTTGTAATTTTATTGCTAAACATTTTTAAATCCGAAACCAATTTAATAAAAAAAACTAATTCAACAAAGCTCGCTGAATATTTATAAAAAAATATATCCCTATTTTAAACTCAGTATTGTGTGGTAATGAACGATATTAGAATGGGCTTCAAGCATACTATGCTGCAACGCCTACAAAACTATGATGTGTATCCCGCGAAATCTGTGTCCAGCAGCAACAGCTCGGAATCGGGTGACGAACAAACGCACCAAGCCACTCACGTCACCGATTTCAGTATTAGTCGCATATTAGGTGATGATGCGCAACCAAAAGGTGCTTCAAAAAATTGCAAGGATTCCGCCAAAATACCGACGCACAAGGTCAAGCCATGCACTCCTACGTCCGAGACTTCAGCGTCTCTTGCTACTGATATACTGGACCTGTCGAAATCCTCTCCTTCAGCAGATCAGGCGCCAACAATCACTACACCTCGTCAACCCGCCTATCCAACACCTACCTACCATGGATTCCATTCCGACTTCATAGCCGCCGCTGCAGCCGCAAATGCAACGAAATTGTACGCGCAATTTTTTCCTCATATGTTCGCTACATACGCGGTGCCCAACTTCAACGCACCCACAGCGGTGACACCTTACCAAAAACGCTACTTTGCACCGTATGTCATTAACTCAGCGTCAGCGGATACCATTTCTGCCGCCCAGTTGAACAACTCCCGTTTATCGACGTTGCCGAACTACTTAAGTACGCCAATATCGTGTTCATCGCCTAAAAATGTTTACGCACGCGCGGGTTGTACTGATTGTTTAGATTATTATAAACAACTTCCGGCGTATAAATCATCCGTGCCGTCGGTACCTTCTTCGCCCTCCTCCTCAGCGTCGTCGACGTGTCACTCGTCGTTTAGTACAAACTACTTGAAAGCAAAGTCTTCTACTGAACTACTTCTCAAATCTTCAACAATTGCGCTGACGACGGTGTCCAATTTCAACTTAACTGCGAAAACGACAAACATGTGTGCGAGTAATCCTACTTCTATATCGGCTTTGAATGCCGAGGAAATAAGCTACAAATGCTGCATTTGCGATAAGGTTTTTGGATGCTCACAAACATTACAGGTGAGAGCGGGTGTCTTTTGAAATCTTCGATTAATTACGCAACCCCAAATAAGTTTTGGTCTCTGATCCAACCCATCACCAGAATTTATTTGTTGCCTCGATTAGTTCTTTCTAACATTCTATTATAATTTTTATACCTTTGCTTTGTTTATTACATTATTTATTTTCATACATTATTTTCTTGAAAAATAAACATGTAATACACATTTCATGTGAAGAACTTATATAAGAAAATAGTTGATTGCAAATTTGTTCAGTTTAATGTTAACGCTATTCTGGCAGTGTAAATAATTCATGAACCGCATTAAGAAAAACCCGATTTTAGTCAGCGCATATTTCTTTCAAGTGTTCAAAAGTAAACAAAACCTACTGTTTTTATTCGACATTTGTTTTATAAATAAATTTGCGCCGTTGAATGAAATGGCAGCGAACAATAATTTAAATTTATTAAAGTAGTAATTATAATTTAAAATGGACTGCATAAAGAAAACCAGCCTATTTTCATTCGAGTCAAATGAATGATGTTTTTTATACATGTTTTCTAACCGATACACAATGTAAGATTGTTAAATTCTAGATGCACTAAATACCTAAAAAACAAATACTTCAAATTCGATGATCTTTTAGTAAATGTTAGAAAAATAACGAACTGTTACGAAAATAAACACCAAACATCATGAAAATAATGTCATCAGCAAGATAACGGTTATCAAACAAGTGTTATTGAAACTCACGCAAAAATTAATTTTATACCATCCATCAGTCACAAAATTTTGTTCGTAAACTTTAATAGTTTAGTTGTATGTTATAATACTTTATTGCATGTATGTAAAGTTAGAAAATTTTGGAAAATTTTGTATATTCCATAGACTCCAACTTAGAAATTCTATCAGATTCCATTTTGACACCACAGATAAGCAGATACATCCAGGTGCTAACTAAAAAAAAAATAATTCGCCCAAAGGCATAATTTTTTACAATGAGTGAAATATCACGCGAATAGGGATGGGTAGTGGGGGGTTGAAATTCGATTTTTCCGAATTTCGAACATTACCCAACCATTCGATTATTCGATTCGAAATCTGGTGGTGAAAATTCGATTTAATTCGAATTTTTTTGGAATTTCGCAACATTTTTTTGAAGTGAAACTTCTTAATCGAGTTCGGAGATGTTTGCGCTAAAAATTTAACACCAAGTCATAAAATCTGTATCGTGCAATTTAAAAAAATTAGGAGTCGAATTAAGGGCTTCTCCTTTGGGTCTGCACTAGGGATGCCAAAATATCAGGAAAATTGGGATCCCGGGATTTCGGGATATTTTTTAGGTAATCTCGGGATCCCGGGATTTATGTCGGGATTCAAATTGAGTCATAAATTTTATGAATATGAGTAAAAATTCAATATCTGAAAGCATTTAAACATACCATTAAATAAAACTTTTTGAAATTTACGATAAACTGATTGTAAAATTCATATATCGCTAGCTTAGAGTGAAAAGTTGCTAACTTCACTTTTAATAAAAAATCATATTTTTATATAGGAGGCTAGATAAATTAGAATTGCATCGTTTCGAAAAGGGTAAAGGTCCTTGTTTTATGTTTTCTCGTTTATATTCAATGAAAGTAAAATTTGCTAAGGCCAAAAAAAGCTCCGAAAATTCGATAAGGCCAAAAAAGTTCGAAATCTTTTAATAAATATCGAATCCCTCGTTCATGCTACCGACGTAAAAGCCTCTAAAAATTTAAAATAAAAAATCAACAAAGAAACTAGTTTTTTATACAAAAATTTTTAAAATTGAGTTTGGAATAACAGTTCCTTCTTGGCACAGATTCTTTGTTTTATGTATCAGATCGAAAAACATGTATTTTTTTACTTGAATCCCTAAGGCAAATGGAGTGCCACACACAGTGATGGCAAATTTAGTCAGAAACAAGAAAGTTGAAGAGTTGATTTTTTGGAAATAAAGATCAAATTCGACTTTTTCTGGACAAATTCGATTTTATTCGAATTTTAGCAACACAAAGTTCGATTTCAAAAATTCGCCAATTTGGACCTAAAATTCGAATATCGAAGCTTCGAATATCGAATTTACCCATCCCTACACGCGAAGCGCTTTTTGAAGTTTGGTTAAGTAATACGAAAACGGCAAAGTTTGTGACATTTGACCAGAGATCGAAAATAACCGTCACCAAGTGTCTCGTATGGTGTTTACCACTGACACAAACACTCAGCTCTCAAGCAAAGAGTGTTTCCCACCGTGGCAAATCACTCTGTGCGATCATTTTGTGTTTTCCGTTTGGGTTATTTATCAGCTGCTAAAATTTTCCTTGGGCAAAAACACTTTGGCAGGGACTTTTATTTTTAAGTGTCTTAATTTGTGGGTTATTGTAGGACTGAAAAATATAAGTGGGCGTAATAAGTGGAAGCAAAGCGTTAGGCATTTCTTTATACGACATATACGTACAAATACATGTGCGAACATTTATGACAAAGAAGAGAGCGTGCACATTCTTAATATGATACACCGAAAATAAGCTATTTCATTTTATTGATAAAGAAAAGACTAAAGGCAAAGTAAAAAATAAAAACAAAAACAAAGATGCGTAAAGATAAATGCAAAAATTAAGATCAAGGTAAATTTAAAAATTTTACATATATAAGGGCAAAGGTGAAGGGGAATATGTAGATTTAGAAAATGATAAACATAAAGATTATAAAGATGAAGTAAGATGACGATAAAGGAAGGAAGATTAAAATAAAGGTAATTATAAAGAAAATGATATAGTCACAGAGACTCAACCTGGGAACTAGGAATGTTCGATATTTAAGAAAGAATCGATATCATGAATCGATTTAATTCATTTCCATATCGAAATAGTCCAAAAATCCCGAAGTGGTCCAGAAGATTCCGATAATCCCGAAGAAGTCTGGAAAATCGTGGATTAGTCCCGAGGGCCCCGAAGATTTTCGTAGAACTGGAAGTTGATAGTTGAAAAATTACAAATCAAATTGATTCGCTCTACAAATCAAATCAAAAATTTGTATTTCTTATTTGGTTGACAAATCAAATCACAAATATGTAAATTTTATTTTTTCTTTGGTCAACAAACCAAAACACAAATCAAATATATTTCTTAACTGATTGCGGATTTTAAATCAATATGGATTTAAAAGCACGCAACCCTGCCACCGCATGACCACGACGTTGACGTTGCTTATATCTCTCTATATGTCTATCAACAGCAAATTTGATATGTTCCTACGCATTTCTACGGTACCCTGCGTACATGTTCGTGGGTAACCGCACTCTAACACTTATTTTTCCTCTTCCAGCGATAAGTGTCCGTGTCTAACAGCAACGGAAAAAGATATGCAAATAACCCTTTCCCACTGAGAGGAGCACACATCTACACAAAATAAACCACCTGTTCCGTTTTGTGGGTTATTTTTTCTCTTAAATAGGGACGGTTATTTTGGGATACTTTCAAAGTGTTGAGGGATATTTTCGACCTCTGCATTTGACTATCATTTCCTAGGTAAAATTTTCCGTTGTATCCGAATATGAAGTCAAAATATAATAAAGTGGAGCAGTTTTCGAAATTTCAGTTTGGGATCTGAAAATAAGTGCACTCATTTAATTTAAATTTTTGGGACATTTCAATCTCGAAATTAGTTTATATGTACTTGTAAACCTTATTAAATTTGTGTGGCAAAGACATTTTCCAACCGGATTTGCAGTTTGAAAGCTATTCATTGATTTGTCCTCAACTTTGCAACATTTTTAAGGAACTTTCCAAAAAAAATTACTTTCGGTACAAGTCCTACAAGTGTTCAAATAAATTTAAAAGTGTAGATATTTTGTAACACAAAGCAACTTGTAGTTACAAGTGCCGTACTTGTAATTACTGAACTTTGTGTGCAATTGTAGCCTATTTCCGTAACACAACGAACACACTTGTACAGTTGTGTTACGGATCTTTCTACAATTGTAAGCAATTTTCTACCTATCTTGAACGCTGAGTAGATTCAGTTTAGTGAAGTATTTTGCCGTTAGCATACAATTTTTCTGTCGCTATGTGGTCAAGTGATTCCGAAAGTAAAAACGAAAACGTTCCTACAGTGTATCGTTATCGAGAGAGAATGAATATTTCCTTCCTGAGAGACGCATAATTTTTGGAAAGGTTCAGACTGAATCGAGAACAGTGTGAAACTGTGCTTAAAGATATAGGCTCAGTTATCGTGAATAAAACAATTCGGTGCTTCGGTTTCTTAGAATTTCTTTATTTTCTTCATCGCAAAGGCGCATTACAACGTTAATGTATCTGACGTAACGTTACACGATATTACGGTACTAAAATCTCCACAGAAACTTTTTTGTTAATATTGGTTTTAATTTAACTTTTGACGCAAATATAATATGAATTTTATGTCGAATATATTTTTTATTTTGACTAAAGCGTACCCTAGCGGTTCCATTTATTGCAAATCTATGTCGTACTATGACTAACCGCTGGAAAAGCCCATATTTCTTTACTTTGGAATTGATATGTAAAGCAATATGGTTTTATTTAGGGCTTTACAGAGTCCAATATTCAGATTTAATTTTTTGAATTTGATATTGATATTGGAAATATCGGGTCCATTTATCCCGGTAATAATGGGTATCCTATATTTTTACAGCGATACTTTAAATTAGTAGTATATCGATACTTCCGGTTCGATATCGTGTCCCTACTTGTTAATCGATTAGTCGAACAGCAAAATTTGTTTCAAAAAATTATCAACTTCACTTAATCGACTAACCGTTTCTTTTCGACTTTTTCCACTAATCGCTCACAAACAACTATGTAGTCGAAAATGCGTTTATTTTCAATTTATGAACTAGTTGTTTTCTTTGAGTAAACATTTTATTTTTTGAATACTTATGCTTATTGACAAAACCCAACCACGCTAATACAAATCATTTAATGGTGAAAAACTGTCACTATTCGAATAATTTCG